TAAATTGATAAATTATACTTAGATCCCCTCATATTTTTCACTTAATCATTTGAACCCCTTCACATTTAGAATATTACCCCTACATCTCATGACGTTTGTACATGTGTAAACATAACCACTTTTCGTTGATATCTATTAATATAATCGTTAAAAAATATGATTTTATCCTAATAAAAAATTATAATTTCATATTACCCTTTATTTTGTGGATTCGATATACTCTAAAGTTCAAAATCAAGCTTACCATTTGAATGTCTAATAGAATGTAGATATTTATAAAAAGGAAAATATGAAAAATTTTATATAAATATCTACATTTTATTAGACATTCAAATGGTAAGCTTGATTTTGAACTTTAGAGTATATTGAACCCATAAAATAAGGATAATATGAAATTATAATTTTTTATTAGGATAAAATTATATTTTTTAACGGTTATATTAACAGATATCAATGAAAGTGGGTAACATGTTGTACGTGCATAAATGTCATGAGATGTAGGATTAATATTCTAAATGTAAAGAGGTCCAAATCATTAAGTGACAAACATGAAATGATCTAGGTATAATTTATCAATTTAGTTTTAGGTGCATAATGATACAAATTTCTATATTTGAGAGTGCAAATTGAGATTTTTTATCTTTGGGGTGCACATTGATATAAATTTCTATCTTTGAGGGTGCAAATTGAGATTTTTGATCTTTGGGGGTGCACATTGATATAAATTTCTATCTTTGAGGGTGTAAATTGAGATTTTTAATTTTTGGGGGTGTAAATTGAGATTCGAACTATCTTTTGGGGTGTAAAATGAGATTAACCCTTTTTTTTTTTCCGACTTCATGACCACTTTCTAGTATTTTTCAACTTGTTTCTCAATCTACCGTGATATCTACAAAAACATGGATTAAATTCATATTCTTCAAGGTAAGGTCGTGGGCTCAAAATACACTTCAAAGGTTGTTTACTGAATGCATGTTTTGTAAAATCGTGGTATTTTGGTTAAAACCGAACAAAGTTCAATGAAGCATGGGCACATGGAGAACAGTTGCTACTTTCAGAATTTTTCAATGTTGCTAGCCTCTGGTTGGTGTGTGCATTTGGTAGATAATGTGATAATGGAGAGAGCAAATTGGCTCAGGATGACTAAACTAATCACATAGTTTCCCCAGGAATGATAAATGACAGCCCACCAGGAGCCCTTCTCTTCCACAGCCGATGTACATTTTGTGCATGTAATTCAGTTCATTCTGATGCCATTCATTTTATGTTCAATCAAAATTGTCAGTCCCAAGATATGAAGTAAAATTTCTGTCTATATCTAAAGCCATAGGTACAAGAGAAGAGAAGCAGATGTGTTTATGTAGTTCCTTTTTCCATTAACTCTCGAAATGCATTAGGACATACCGAGACACTTTTAACCCATTTGGTATATCTAGATTATTTTCTCGAAATCCTAAGTTTAACTTTTGTAAGAATGATTGAGTTTATCTAATGTGCATGTTCTATGAATGATTATACATATTCAGAGTTTGCACCTTAGTCTGGAGTTTAAATGATATGTGATTAAGACATTTATTTGTTATTGGTGAAAAAAAATACAAATAATGGCATTTANAGTTTATCTAATGTGCATGTTCTATGAATGATTATACATATTCAGAGTTTGCACCTTAGTCTGGAGTTTAAATGACATGTGATTAAGACATTTATTTGTTATTGGTGAAAAAAAATACAAATAATGGCATTTACTTGTACTCCTCTCTATGTTAATCAGTAAGTTATGAGAAGAAGAGTTTTAAAAGCAATTTCAGGCAAGAGTACATTTAAATTTGAATTTGAGCGGGTTGACAAGACAGAATAAAAGGAAGTCGATTGCCTAGGTCAGGTATGGAAAGAGATATCCGTACGATCATGTGAAATTACAGTTTGACCTTGCACTGTAATTGACCAGGGTTTCTACCCAATCAGAATCCACTTGTGAGCTATCTAGCTCCTCACCGGTTNAACATTTAAATTTGAATTTGAGCGGGTTGACAAGACAGAATAAAAGGAAGTCGATTGCCTATGTCAGGTATGGAAAGGGATATCCGTACGATCATGTGAAATTACAGTTTGACCTTGCACTGTAATTAACCAGGGTTTCTACCCAATCAGAATCCACTTGTGAGCTATCTAGCTCCTCACCGGTTACGCTATTATAATTCTTTCAAAGTGGGATTCTAACGGTCGACTATATAGAACAGTGTTTTCTCCCTCCAACGTCCCATTTCCTTCCATTCTCACAAACTTCTGGAAACCAAAATCTCTCTCTCTCTCTCTACTGCCATACTGGGCTAGATAGATAGAGCACAGAGAAATGGTGATGGCTAAGGTGACATACGAGGAGCTACGCAGGCAGAGGCTGGAAGAGAACAAGAAGAGAATGGAAGAACTCCATCTTCCCCAGCTCTCTCAAGCTCTCAAAAAGACCTCCTCTCCCAAACCCTCCCCGGTTTTACTCTCTCTCTCTCTCTCTCTCATTTATATTAATTTGTGTTGATGTGTTCACTCTAACGTAAACCAATCAAAAGATGAAGCAGGTGAAACCTCGTACAATTAAGACAGAGTTGGTCCCAGTAAGAAGGTCCCGTCGTGTTGCCAGCAAGCCTGCCCCTGATTACAAAGAAGTAATCTCTAATCCTTTTTCACCCAAAACCCATATTTAAAAAGTTTTCAATCTTAAAACATAACAAAAACCAGTGTGATTTGATCATCATCAACAGGTCACTTTTTATGAGCGCATTGAGTTGCCTAGAAGGTACTATTTTTGAACAAATTTTCCACTTACTATGAATTTGGTGGAACAATTTACGTGCTATTTATATGGGTAATTAAATGCTTGATAGTTTGGTTTGGTATAGGGTATGTAGTAGATTGTATAATAATCGGAGGGACTTGTCAAATCGGGTATATGCTTCGGATGAAGCAAGAGAATATGCTACAAAGAAAGCAGAGGAGCTGGAGTCGAGCCTAGAAGCTGATTATCCTACCTTTGTGAAGCCAATGCTACAGTCCCATGTCACTGGAGGCTTCTGGCTGGTGATTATCTCCTCTCAGTTCATTGTCATGTTATAAAACTGGATGTTGTGGTGTTTTGCATAGTTGATCTAAAAGAGAACCCATGAGTTGTAGTGGACTAATAAGTGTATGATTTTGCAATCAAGGCAATTTTTTTGGTCTGAGTGACACTGAATGATACGGCATTGTAAGACTAACAATCATACTGAGCAATTTTAGTTTAAAACAGATACTCCTGTAGATCGTGGAGCATTGTAACTTTTCCTCGTAACTTTGTGTTTAGTTGCAGTGAAATGTGGGAATATAACAACAGCAATCGCAAAATACATGCAGACTTGGGGTTTTTTCATGTTGACAGCCACTTTATACTGATTTTGCAATCAAGGCAATTTTTTTGGTCTGAGTGACACTGAACGATATGGCATTGTAAGACTAACAATCATACTGAGCAATTTTAGTTTAAAACATATACTCCTGTAGATCGTGGAGCATTGTAACTTTTCCTCGTAACTTTGTGTTTAGTTGCAGTGAAATGTGGGAATATAACAACAGCAATTGCAAAATACATGCAGACTTGGGGTTTTTTCATGTTGACAGCCACTTTATACTGATTTATTTGATTTTCCCTTTCNTGCAAAATACATGCAGATTTGGGGTTTTTTCATGTTGACAGCCACTTTATACTGATTTATTTGATTTTCCCTTTCAGATTTTCAATTATCTAGAACTACACTCGTATAATTATCCATAAAGCTTTTCTTCCCTACATATTATTCCCAGCTTAGCTTAAAAATATCTTCATTTTGTTGTCCAAAGGAAAACCCTACCATTGCGTAGATCAGCAATTGGGTAAATCTTTTGTTTCTTCAAATGAAGAAATTACCTTATATTTGGACCAAACAACAGCATAAATGTTACAGGCTTATGGTTGAGTAGGAGGCAAAGGTTTTTGACATAGACTTCAAACTAAACAGATTCCAATTCCTGAGATTAGATTAAACCTATGTTTTTCGTATATCGTGAGGAAACAACTATGATTATTATATATGATTTTCGGATGCAGGGTCTTCCATCTCATTTCAGCAAGAAGAACCTTCCAAGGCGTGATGACACTGTTTCATTGGTAGATGAACAGGGAGATGAGTANCGTATATCGTGAGGAAACAACTATGATTATTATATATGATTTTCGGATGCAGGGTCTTCCATCTCATTTCAGCAAGAGGAACCTTCCAAGGCGTGATGACACTGTTTCATTGGTAGATGAACAGGGAGATGAGTATCAAACTGTGTACTTGGCCCGGAAAACAGGACTTAGTGGGGGATGGAAACGATTTGCAGTTGAACATGAGTTGGTAGACGGGGATGCATTGGTGTTCCAGTTAATCCGGCCGACAGTATTTAAGGTGACTCCGTGAATTTAGCATCTTCTCCCCATATATTTTCAGTATTGCTGTTTTTTACTGCATAAATATCATCAGGTATGGATTACTGTTCCCATAAGAGTGTGAGATCATGACACATTTGTGCTTCANTACAGTATTTAAGGTGACTCTGTGAATTTAGCATCTTCTCCCCATATATTATCAGTATTGCTGTTTTTTACTGCATAAATATCGTCAGGTATGGATTACTGTTCCCATAAGAGTGTGAGATCATGACACATTTGTGCTTCATGCGAGCATGAACAACTCTCCATATACATAGTGTAAATGCTTACGCATATGAGTGTGAGACTTGGGACATAGAGATGAGACATTATTGAAAAATTGCTTGTATGAACAGAAGTTGAAGTTANCATGCGAGCATGAACAACTCTCCATATACATAGTGTAAATGCTTACGCATATGAGTGTGAGACTTGGGACATAGAGATGAGACATTATTGAAAAATTGCTTGTATGAACAGAGGTTGAAGTTAGGGAGTGTTTGTTGAACATAACTCCCACACTCGTCAGCAAAATCTGTGACCTGTTTAGAATTAAAAGTAAGTAGGGCCTGCATTCCTAAAAGGATAGAAAACAGAAGAAATGATTGAAAAGAAGTTGAAGATGGTGTAAAAATAACTAGAATTCCTTCTTGAATTGTCATTCCAAACATACTCTTGCATTTATGCTTGAGTTTTGTTGTGAAGGATGAAGGAAAATGGATTCTTGAGTCAACAAGCTTACTCCTTTTTGTGATCCTTAGAAAAGTCCAACGAAAGCATTGAAGCCCTTGCTTTGGTGGAACGAAATGGGATGGGGACTCTTTCACGTGGTCTAAAAAAGTTCAAAAATACTAATAACATTTTCCCTTTCTTGTAACCTAAATCGTTTGGAACTTCTATTTTGATTTGGGTCTTCTTTTACTGAAAAATTGTACCATGATGTTTGTTAGAATAGGTGGCTCATATTCAATATATGGAGAGGCTCACCAGGTTTGATTGTTCATCGCACACATATCACAACAATGTTACACTACATTGGCCAACAATGTATTTACTTATCTTTTTTTCCAGGTGTACATTATAAGGGTGAATACATTTGAAGACAGTAATGGTAGTTAAGAACCAAGACGTAGGGTGTTGGGGCTAATCAAACAAATGCAGGTAACATTATTGTACTTCCAAATCCTTATACTGCTTTTTATTGCATTACCTGTGTATCCTAAGTTCGATTCTATTCATTGATATCTTAGCCAACCCTGTCATGTTCAAAATTTTCATTAATTTGTCTTTCCAATCTATCAAGTTGCAAGAGAGCGCTTACCTAACAATGGAAGTTTCAACAAGACCTATCTGGAGACTCTTTTACATAATCTNGATATCTTAGCCAACCCTGTCATGTTCAAAATTTTCATTAATTTGTCTTTCCAATTTATCAAGTTGCAAGAGAGCGCTTACCTAATAATGGAAGTTTCAATAAGACCTATCTGGAGACTCTTTTACATAATCTGTGTTCCACATTATTCAAGTAATTGATTGTTTGGTATGCACCATTATTTTTTTTGTTGTTTCACATGCCTGAAAACAGTTGTTTTTGGGGTGTGTATGTAGCACAGATATGTATTTCTAATCAATAAAGCCATAACATTGTGCTTTGGAGAAAGAATAGCCATGTGTCATTGAACTTGGGTCTTTTTGCACTTCACATACTTGCCGATAACCCCAGTATGGTTTGTGGATTAAAGTGCACACAGCTCATGCATCATCGTGGATTTTCAATTTAGGTCACAGTTACAAAGCTTTAAGCAATCACATGTGATGCAGGTTTCAAAAGAAAACTCAAATATGTGTCTATATGGTGTTCATATGTGAACTGGAAAATTAGAGAGGGGTCTAACTAAGTATATATCTCAAGGGTACATATAAAAGTTGCACAATGCCCCAATCATGTAGGACATGCAGATGCCATACTTGCAAATGCAGTAGTCCTCATAGGTAACAGCTTATTTAAGAGGTGGTTGGACCAACACTTCCATCACAACTCTCATTGCCAAACTTAGGTTCACATCTATTTTAACCCCCCGCGGCCCCTTTGGGGCGTTTTCTTTATGTAATTATTTTAAATACAAATCTAGTAAAATATGTAGAAAGTCCTCTGTTTGATCATTCTACAAACGATGGGGGAATTCGTCTCAAGTTATTTCCAATATTTTGAATTGGCTGCTACTGTGAAGGTCCTGCTATAATTTCCGGGGGGATTCCTCTCAAGTTTTTGCCAATAATATTGAATTGGCTGCTAGTGTGAAGCTTCTGCTATAACTTACTGGTCTTTTGTGCTCTTCCTCTAGATAAGATATTTTGCACTTCTTGATACAAGGCACTCTTGTTTTTTGTAGGTATATAATATTATGATGCATTGTTGGATTTCTTTCAGCCTATGTATTCCTTTTTGGATCCAGAAGATACTTAATATTCATTGTTATGGAGAAAGTGATATATGCTACTGATTTAGATGTACCATGTTTTTGCTTGAAGTTAGTTATTGCATATTGGAGGCAAATGTATGAACTATTTTTAGGATCATTGCTCCTTCTCTCTCGTACCCATTTTTAGGCTCATTACTATACCTTAAATCATTTTTAGGATCTCTCTTGTACTCATTGTAACATAAAGGTCACGAGTTCGAATCACGAAAATAGTCTTTTTGCTTGCAGGAATAAAACTGCATATTATCTAATTTTTCCCAAATCCCATAATGACGGGTGCCTCTTGTATTGGATACGCCCTACTAAACCGTAAAACATGTTTGATTTGGCATGATAATGGGTGCAAAGCTCACTAAATGCTTTGATAGATTTGTGTTCATAGAATTTCATGTAGGTTGTGACCATCCTACAATCCAACAATTCGAGTTTGAAATCTCCAAATTTTGGTTGAATTCCGGGAAAAAGTGGTTGTCGAATTCAAACCCTAGAATTCTTATCTTTTGGCTATTAAGCTTATTTCAACCACATTTAACGAGATTTCAAGAACTACATGTTGAGGTGATCTAATTTTGTCAGTTTAATTATCATTGTGAAATTATTTTAGGACAATTTATTGTCTACATTTTGGCCCAAATTCATACTATCCAAGTTTAAGAATTTTGTCAAATTAAAAACATAAATATTACGAGTTTGTGATGAATTTTAATAAATTTGTGTCAAAAATTATTGCATTTATATTCAATTTATTCATTAATCCATGTTTTACTTTCTGAAAAGAAAATATATATGATGGGTGGTGTGACAGGCTGGTGATAGCAACACTAGCAATGGCTATTGTCCTATTATGCTTGTTGTAATGCTTCTAATTAATTTCAAGATTCATATTGCTATAAATTGTGTTTCCTATTTTCAAATCGATCTTTTTATATATAAAAATCAAATTACCAGAAAAAAAGCCTAGAATTATTCCCCCCCCTCCCCAAGTTTTTATTATTACACTATAGAATTTTCAATCATAGGTTGAATAATTTGTCCACCTATAATTGCTTTGTAATTTCTTTTAATTATCAATAAAATTATGATTTCTTATTGAAAAAAAAAAGAAGATTATTATACTATTCAATAAATTATGGATGATTTGTCTTTAACTAGACTGGTGAAAAAATTATCAAAATTTGTGTAAATTAATTCAGATATTTTTAATTTTTGAAACAAATAATAATAATAATAATTTAAACAATATAACATACATGTATTTAAAGGAGTCCCGCTTCCTCATCGCGCTCATCAAGCCATTTTTCGCCCTATTTAAAAGGGATTCGGAGAGAAAAATGTATTTATTAGACGGAATGTAGATCCAATCACGAAAATGCGCGAGACCAAAATTGATGTAAACATGTGATTGAGGGCGAGATTTGAGGGAGTTAGCGTCTGGTACTACTCCAATCAGGGGATGTCAAAGCATTGGGATTTGTAAGGTGGCCCCAATGTGGGCCTGGCCCACGAAGATGCGTGAACCCATACACAAACACGCTACCACTGCCTTTTATTATCACTCATGGACAATTAATTAAATACGATAATTATCTTTAACCGGCTTAAAATGGTTTTTTTTTTTTTTTTTCATGTATATAGTTCCGTCACGAACGTTTCTTTGACCCGTTCTTTTTCTTCTAGACTCTTGGATTATCGTGGGATGTTAAACTAATCGATTCACCCGTTAGAGATCATTTTGAAGTTATTTATATTTGGATACGTGTTAAACATATATAGTGTTTATTTTCACTTATCATTTTGTTTAATTAAAATTATATTATTTTATTATTAAAAAAAATGTGATGCACCCTTCTGTTTATTATTTGAATTTGAATCCGTTGAACCATTAAGATCGAATTTCAAAGTTAATAATTCTAGATTTCATGCCAGTTTTACCAATTATGTCTAAAACATCCCTACGAAAATATTGGGTCAGTCCGTATGGCCCACTTTTAAATTTGTGTTCTAGGCTCACATGTAAATNTACGAAAATATTGGGTCAGTCCGTATGGCCCACTTTTAAATTTGTGTTCTAGGCTCACATGTAAATGTCTATTGCCTTTTCCAAACTAGCTGATAACACACAGTAACGACTTTCTGTATTCGTTAGCTCTCACGTAGAACCTATCATATTTTGAATATTATACTTAGACCCCTAAGTTTTTTGTGCCTATTACACATAGATTCTAACCCAAAAATTGTCTTTTCTTTTATTTATTTAAATCCATACCAACATTAGCTTTGCCCTATCACTATCACCAATATTAGATGTGGTCCAACACCAACCTATTGGCAATAATGAATGAGATAATCAAATTAAAAAAATGATTAAATTCAACTAACATTATCCAAAAATAATTTTTTTCCTTATTTTCTTTTGGATGTTTGTTTATAATTTTTTCTTTCTTTTTTTATTTTTATTTTTAAATTACTTATTAAAAGGGTGTATAAAGCATGTAATGAATTTAGTTATTAATGAGTGTGTATAGAATGAGTGATTTTAGTAGTTTAATAATAAGAAATTAAATGAAGTGTGAATAAATATTTGTGGGGTGAAAATAGCCCCCACCAAATTTTTTTATGAANTTTTTTTTTTTTTTCATGTATATAGTTCCGTCACGAACGTTTCTTTGACCCGTTCCTTTTCTTCTAAGACTCTTGGATTATCGTGGGATGTTAAACTAATCGATTCATGTCAGAGATCATTTTGAAGTTATTTATATTTAGATACGTGTTAAACATATATAGAGTTTATTTTTACTTATCATTCTGTTTAATTAAAATTATATTATTTTATTATTAAAAAAAATGTGATGCACCCTTCTTTTTATTATTTGAATTTGAATCCGTTGAACCATTAAGATCGAATTTCAAAGTTAATAATTCTAGATTTCATGCCAGTTTTACCAATTATGTCTAAAACATCCCCACGAAAATATTGGGTCAGTCCGTATGGCCCACTTTTAAATTTGTGTTCTAGGCTCACATGTAAATGTCTCTTGCCTTTTCCAAACTAGCTGATAACACACAGTAACGACTTTCTGTATTCTTTCGCTCTCACGTAGAACCTATCATATTTTGAATATTATACTTAGACCCCTAAGTTTTTTGTGCCTATTACACATAGATCCTAACCCAAAAATCGTCTTTTCTTCTATTTATTTAAATCCATACCAACATTAGCTTTGCCCTATCACTATCACCAATATTAGATGTGGTCCAACACCAATCTATTGGCAATAATGAATGAGATCATCAAATTAAAAAAAATGATTAAATTCAACTAACATCATCCAAAAATAATTTTTTTTTCTTATTATCTTTTGGATGTTTGTTTATAATTTTTTCTTTCTTTTTTATTTATTTTTAAATTACTTATTAAAATGGTGTATACAGCATGTAATGAATTTAGTTATTAATGGGGGTGTGTATAGAATGAGTGATTTTAGTAGTTTAATAATAAGAAATTAAATGAAGTGTGAATAAATATTTGTGGGGTGAAAATAGCCCCCCACCAAATTTTTTTATGAAGAGAAATTTCAAAGAACTTTAATGGCTTATTGCAAATGAAGATATGAATAAAAAAAAAAAAAGAAATACCAAGACCTAAATTCAAGGAACAATAAATCACTACCTAGCCAATTCTATAGAAAATATCTTAATCATACAAATATACGTAAAAATTCTATGAGATAACAACATTGCTTATGATTTCTTGGTTCTCTATCTGTATAAGTCTATTCAAAGATTCAAAACACCCCCCCCCCCCCCCGGGACCATGGAGAGAGAGAGAGAGAAAGAATTAGGATATATTGCTTGCGGTACGGTTTGCATGCATTTGGGTTAGTTTTTGGTTTCGGGTACAAGCTTGGATTGGAGTTTGACGGCTGGGATTGATTTTCTTCAGTTTTTATCAAAGGGTATAATAGTCTTTTTGTAATTTTAGTTAAGTCTAATTAACCTACAGTAATTGACAGGGGGTCTGAGTGTAATATCCAAATGTCAGAGGGTGTATATGATTAAGCGATAAACTTTAGGGGTGTAAAAAATAATACACTTTCATTGGATGGGCCCACGAACATAAATTAGTTATTCGGTGTCCAAAGGCACGCACGTGAAATACACGCTTACTGTTCAGATTCGGCAGTTGCTTTTTACGATACGACGAATTACAAACGGTGCGTTTTGGACACGTCAGCAATGCACATGGAAGAATTGGAAAAAAATAGAGACGAACAGATTTATTTACAATTACGCCCTCTTCATTCTCTCTCTCCCTCTCTCTCTCTCTCTCAAATATTGTTCTCTCTCTACAATACAATACGAATTCGACGGAGATTTTTCGCTGCGAAACGNCCTCTCTCTCTCTCAAACATTGTTCTCTCTCTACAATACAATACGAATTCGACGGAGATTTTTCGCTGCGAAACGCCGGGATTTGCGTTTCTCGATGACTGCAACGGCTGATTATCAATTTCAATCATCTATTGAAATTTCCGTATGTTTTTTTTTTTCATTTTCTCGCTCCTAGTAATCCCGATTTTCTTGTTCCGCGGTTACGATTCATATATTTTGTGTAGAAGTTTAACGTTTTGTCCACCTGCATTGTTGCAAATTTTCGTTTCAGGGCTTGTTTTAATCAATTGTTCATGTTGCACGCTTAAATTCGTTAGAATTTGTAATTCGACGTTCGAGTTGTTAGGATTTTCTGAATTATATTAGATGTATGTTAAATTTAATGTAGTTAATATGCGATAAATTTGACTGAATATAGCGGTATCTTGATTTCAGGATTTCTGACTTGTTCGGTTGTTGTTTTAGGAATTCTTTTGGATTTGTGCTGATCAAAGCGAGTGAGTGATAATAACTGGAGGAATACGTGAGTTTTTAGAAAGACACTTAAATTGGATTTGAAGAGACCGAACAATGTCATCCAAGGGTGAACATCAGGCGATCCCATTATCGGTGTTGCTGAAGCGCGAATTGGCCAATGAAAAGATCGAGAGGCCGGAGATATTTCATGGCCAGGCTAACCAAAGCAAGAAGGGGGAGGATTTTACTTTCCTGAAGACCGAATGCCAACGGGTGCTAGGAGATGGGGTTACTACATATTCTGTTTTTGGGGTATGTTTTGATTGATGTACTGTTATAAGTTATAACTCTGCTTTTGAGCCTTGAATTGCTGAATCAACTTTCCATGATATCTTATTGGTGGATCTAAAATGTTCATACAATGGGAGGAGATAGACCATTAGAGTAAGGAGACTTAAAAAAGTGTTTATGATTTTATTGGAATGGAGGATGATTTTAAAAGAAAGAAAACTACATACAAAACTGTTTCTGACTGTTGGCTGCACTTCTAATTGCTTCTACGTTATTCATAGTTCCCATATGTTTTTTCATATTTTGTTCTTACTAGACCTTGTTTTGCAGTTGTTTGATGGACACAATGGATCTGCAGCTGCAATATACTCTAAGGAGAATCTCCTAAACAATGTTTTGAGTGCTGTCCCACCAGAACTCAATCAAGATGAATGGGTTGCGGCACTGCCGAGGGCTTTGGTTGCAGGATTTGTAAAAACAGATAAAGATTTCCAAGATAAGGGTAAGAGTACTTTGCTTTCCAAATCTTCTGAAGTTGGCATATGCAGTGTGGCTATCTGATGATTTAGAGGCCCTGTATATAACTTAAGTTGGAACTGCATTAGATTTGAGATCTAGTTGAAGTACAAAAGAATTGCCAGCGTAGCCTTCGAGTTCTTTGGGACATTCTGCTTGTTATAACTGGGATAACCCAGCCCATAGTCAAGATTAAAATAATCATCTACACTACACGTGAACTAACAATCATTTCAACAAATACATGCAACAACATGTAATTGTATACCTACANCTTCGAGTTCTTTGGGACATTCTGCTTGTTATAACTGGGATAACCCAGAAACGTGCCCATAGTCAAGATTAAAATAATCATCTACACTACAGGTGAACTAACAATCATTTCAACAAATACATGCAACAACATGTAATTGTATACCTACAACATTTATGTATACCACGTTTGTTTTTATTGATATAGTATTGTATAGTATTGATTTATCTTCTTTCCTTAGATAACAATTTCATATAATTCATCCNCAACATTTATGTATACCACGTTTGTTTTTATTGATATAGTATTGTATAGTATTGATTTATCTTCTTTCCTTAGATAACAATTTCATATAATTCATCCACTTTTTGGTTAGCAAACCCATCATTATGGTCACCACTCTCCATTATGTGAAAGCCATCTTAACATCAATAGAGGCTGATTATAGAGCAGAGAAAGAGATAAACAAGGTTGAAAGACCGAAGAATGTCTGAAGGTTATGCAAGAAAAATGCATATTTTGACACCGATATATTGATATGTAATTGCTACTTGCTACTATAGTATCTTTCTTTGTGTAAATTGGCCCAACATTTTATTCTTTTGTTCACTTCATAGGTATTGAGAAAAAGAAATTTGGATACATTTCAATATCACCATTCCCATGCAATATGTATGTCGTCCACCCCAACCCACCTCTAGGCAACAACAATTGAAAAAATCTTTTTGACACGGAGAAAACTTACATTGGATAACAGAGAACAGGTATAATATAAAAAAATTAGTTAAAAAAAATGTTGTCATTATTATTGCCATAGAACTTGTTGAAGAACAAAAACTATTAGTGGTTTTGGATAGTAGAGTTTATGAGGCATGCACCAATTAACACAATCATGCAATGTAAATCTAATTCCCAGTGAATTATTACAAGTTTATTGAGATAGTGTACGTGTTTGTTAGTTTCTCATGTTGTTACCTATTCATAACTTGGGACAATTACACTGGCAAGTGACACCCCCTTGTTGTTTTCAGGGGTATCCTTGTTCCTTAAATAACACCAAACCCCTTTGTTGGGTTGTGTTTATACTGCAGAGATCATCCTTTTAGTAGGCAAACACNGATATCTTAGCCAACCCTGTCATGTTCAAAATTTTCATTAATTTGTCTTTCCAATCTATCAAGTTGCAAGAGAGCGCTTACCTAACAATGGAAGTTTCAACAAGACCTATCTGGAGACTCTTTTACATAATCTGTGTTCCACATTATTCAAGTAATTGATTGTTTGGTATGCACCATTATTTTTTTTGTTGTTTCACATGCCTGAAAACAGTTGTTTTTGGGGTGTGTATGTAGCACAGATATGTATTTCTAATCAATAAAGCCATAACATTGTGCTTTGGAGAAAGAATAGCCATGTGTCATTGAACTTGGGTCTTTTTGCACTTCACATACTTGCCGATAACCCCAGTATGGTTTGTGGATTAAAGTGCACACAGCTCATGCATCATCGTGGATTTTCAATTTAGGTCACAGTTACAAAGCTTTAAGCAATCACATGTGATGCAGGTTTCAAAAGAAAACTCAAATATGTGTCTATATGGTGTTCATATGTGAACTGGAAAATTAGAGAGGGGTCTAACTAAGTATATATCTCAAAGGGTACATATAAAAGTTGCACAATGCCCCAATCATGTAGGACATGCAGATGCCATACTTGCAAATGCAGTAGTCCTCATAGATAACAGCTTATTTAAGAGGTGGTTGGACCAACACTTCCATCACAACTCTCATTGCCAAACTTAGGTTCACATCTATTTTAACCCCCCGCGGTCCCTTTGGGGCGTTTTCTTTATGTAATTATTTTAAATACAAATCTAGTAAAATATGTAGAAAGTCCTCTGTTTGATCATTCTACAAACGATGGGGAATTCATCTCAAGTTATTTCCAATATTTTGAATTGGCTGCTACTGTGAAGGTCCTGCTATAATTTCCGGGGGGATTCCTCTCAAGTTTTTGCCAATAATATTGAATTGGCTGCTAGTGTGAAGCTTCTGCTATAACTTACTGGTCTTTTGTGCTCTTCCTCTAGATAAGATATTTTGCACTTCTTGATACAAGGCACTCTTGTTTTTTGTAGGTATATAATATTATGATGCATTGTTGGATTTCTTTCAGCCTATGTATTCCTTTTTGGATCCGGAAGATACTTAATATTCATTGTTATGGAGAAAGTGATATATGCTACTGATTTAGATGTACCATGTTTTTGCTTGAAGTTAGTTATTGCATATTGGAGGCAAATGTATGAACTATTTTTAGGATCATTGCTCCTTCTCTCTCGTACCCATTTTTAGGCTCATTACTATACCTTAAATCATTTTTAGGATCTCTCTTGTACTCATTGTAACATAAAGGTCACAAGTTCGAATCATGAAAATAGTTTTTTTGCTTGCAGGGATAAAACTGCATATTATCTAATTTTTCCCAAATCCCATAATGACGGGTGCCTCTTGTATTGGATACGCTCTACTAAACCTTAAAACATGTTTGATTTGGCATGATAATGGGTCCAAAGCTCACTAAATGCTTTGATAGATTTGTGTTCATAGGATTTCATGTAGGTTGTGACCATCCTACAATCCAACAATTCGAGTTTGGAATCTCCAAATTTTGGTTGAATTCCGGGAAAAAGTGGTTGTCGAATTCAAACCCTAGAATTCTTATCTTTTGGCTATTAGGCTTATTTCAACCACATTTAACGAGATTTCAAGAACTACATGTTGAGGTGATCTAATTTTGTCAGTTTAATTATCATTGTGAAATTATTTTAGGACAATTTATTGTCTACATTTTGGCCCAAATTCATACTATCCAAGTTTAAGAATTTTGTCAAATTAAAAACATAAATATTACGAGTTTGTGATGAATTTTAATAAATTTGTGTCAAAAATTATTGCATTTATATTCAATTTATTCATTAATCCATGTTTTACTTTCTGAAAAGAAAATATATATGATGGGTGGTGTGACAGGCTGGTGATAGCAACACTAGCAATGGCTATTGTCCTATTATGCTTGTTGTAATGCTTCTAATTAATTTCAAGATTCATATTGCTATAAATTGTGTTTCCTATTTTCAAATCGATCTTTTTATATATAAAAATCAAATTACCAGAAAAAAAGCCTAGAATTATTCCCCCCCCTCCCCAAGTTTTTATTATTACACTATAGAATTTTCAATCATAGGTTGAATAATTTGTCCACCTATAATTGCTTTGTAATTTCTTTTAATTATCAATAAAATTATGATTTCTTATTGAAAAAAAAAAGAAGATTATTATACTATTCAATAAATTATGGATGATTTGTCTTTAACTAGACTGGTGAAAAAATTATCAAAATTTGTGTAAATTAATTCAGATATTTTTAATTTTTGAAACAAATAATAATAATAATAATTTAAACAATATAACATACATGTATTTAAAGGAGTCCCGCTTCCTCATCGCGCTCATCAAGCCATTTTTCGCCCTATTTAAAAGGGATTCGGAGAGAAAAATGTATTTATTAGACGGAATGTAGATCCAATCACGAAAATGCGCGAGACCAAAATTGATGTAAACATGTGATTGAGGGCGAGATTTGAGGGAGTTAGCGTCTGGTACTACTCCAATCAGGGGATGTCAAAGCATTGGGATTTGTAAGGTGGCCCCAATGTGGGCCTGGCCCACGAAGATGCGTGAACTCATACACAAACACGCTACCACTGCCTTTTATTATCACTCATGGACAATTAATTAAATACGATAATTATCTTTAACCGGCTTAAAATGGATTTTTTTTTTTTTTTTTTCATGTATATAGTTCCGTCACGAACGTTTCTTTGACCCGTTCCTTTTCTTCTAAGACTCTTGGATTATCGTGGGATGTTAAACTAATCGATTCATGTCAGAGATCATTTTGAAGTTATTTATATTTAGATACGTGTTAAACATATATAGAGTTTATTTTTACTTATCATTCTGTTTAATTAAAATTATATTATTTTATTATTAAAAAAAATGTGATGCACCCTTCTTTTTATTATTTGAATTTGAATCCGTTGAACCATTAAGATCGAATTTCAAAGTTAATAATTCTAGATTTCATGCCAGTTTTACCAATTATGTCTAAAACATCCCCACGAAAATATTGGGTCAGTCCGTATGGCCCACTTTTAAATTTGTGTTCTAGGCTCACATGTAAATGTCTCTTGCCTTTTCCAAACTAGCTGATAACACACAGTAACGACTTTCTGTATTCTTTCGCTCTCACGTAGAACCTATCATATTTTGAATATTATACTTAGACCCCTAAGTTTTTTGTGCCTATTACACATAGATCCTAACCCAAAAATCGTCTTTTCTTCTATTTATTTAAATCCATACCAACATTAGCTTTGCCCTATCACTATCACCAATATTAGATGTGGTCCAACACCAATCTATTGGCAATAATGAATGAGATAATCAAATTAAAAAAATGATTAAATTCAACTAACATTATCCAAAAATAATTTTTTTCCTTATTTTCTTTTGGATGTTTGTTTATAATTTTTTCTTTCTTTTTTTATTTTTATTTTTAAATTACTTATTAAAAGGGTGTATAAAGCATGTAATGAATTTAGTTATTAATGAGTGTGTATAGAATGAGTGATTTTAGTAGTTTAATAATAAGAAATTAAATGAAGTGTGAATAAATATTTGTGGGGTGAAAATAGCCCCCACCAAATTTTTTTATGAAGAGAAATTTCAAAGAACTTTAATGGCTTATTGCAAATGAAGATATGAATAAAAAAAAACAAAAAGAAATACCAAGACCTAAATTCAAGGAACAATAAATCACTACCTAGCCAATTCTATAGAAAATATCTTAATCATACAAATATACGTAAAAATTCTATGAGATAACAACATTGCTTATGATTTCTTGGTTCTCTATCTGTATAAGTCTATTCAAAGATTCAAAACACCCCCCCCCCCCCCAGGGGACCATGGAGAGAGAGAGAGAGAAAGAATTAGGATATATTGCTTGCGGTACGGTTTGCATGCATTTGGGTTAGTTTTTGGTTTCGGGTACAAGCTTGGATTGGAGTTTGACGGCTGGGATTGATTTTCTTCAGTTTTTATCAAAGGGTATAATAGTCTTTTTGTAATTTTAGTTAAGTCTAATTAACCTACAGTAATTGACAGGGGGTCTGAGTGTAATATCCAAATGTCAGAGGGTGTATATGATTAAGCGATAAACTTTAGGGGTGTAAAAAATAATACACTTTCATTGGATGGGCCCACGAACATAAATTAGTTATTCGGTGTCCAAAGGCACGCACGTGAAATACACGCTTACTGTTCAGATTCGGCAGTTGCTTTTTACGATACGACGAATTACAAACGGTGCGTTTTGGACACGTCAGCAATGCACATGGAAGAATTGGAAAAAAATAGAGACGAACAGATTTATTTACAATTACGCCCTCTTCATTCTCTCTCTCCCTCTCTCTCTCTCTCTCAAATATTGTTCTCTCTCTACAATACAATACGAATTCGACGGAGATTTTTCGCTGCGAAACGCCGGGATTTGCGTTTCTCGATGACTGCAACGGCTGATTATCAATTTCAATCATCTATTGAAATTTCCGTATGTTTTTTTTTTTCATTTTCTCGCTCCTAGTAATCCCGATTTTCTTGTTCCGCGGTTACGATTCATATATTTTGTGTAGAAGTTTAACGTTTTGTCCACCTGCATTGTTGCAAATTTTCGTTTCAGGGCTTGTTTTAATCAATTGTTCATGTTGCACGCTTAAATTCGTTAGAATTTGTAATTCGACGTTCGAGTTGTTAGGATTTTCTGAATTATATTAGATGTATGTTAAATTTAATGTAGTTAATATGCGATAAATTTGACTGAATATAGCGGTATCTTGATTTCAGGATTTCTGACTTGTTCGGTTGTTGTTTTAGGAATTCTTTTGGATTTGTGCTGATCAAAGCGAGTGAGTGATAATAACTGGAGGAATACGTGAGTTTTTAGAAAGACACTTAAATTGGATTTGAAGAGACCGAACAATGTCATCCAAGGGTGAACATCAGGCGATCCCATTATCGGTGTTGCTGAAGCGCGAATTGGCCAATGAAAAGATCGAGAGGCCGGAGATATTTCATGGCCAGGCTAACCAAAGCAAGAAGGGGGAGGATTTTACTTTCCTGAAGACCGAATGCCAACGGGTGCTAGGAGATGGGGTTACTACATATTCTGTTTTTGGGGTATGTTTTGATTGATGTACTGTTATAAGTTATAACTCTGCTTTTGAGCCTTGAATTGCTGAATCAACTTTCCATGATATCTTATTGGTGGATCTAAAATGTTCATACAATGGGAGGAGATAGACCATTAGAGTAAGGAGACTTAAAAAAGTGTTTATGATTTTATTGGAATGGAGGATGATTTTAAAAGAAAGAAAACTACATACAAAACTGTTTCTGACTGTTGGCTGCACTTCTAATTGCTTCTACGTTATTCATAGTTCCCATATGTTTTTTCATATTTTGTTCTTACTAGACCTTGTTTTGCAGTTGTTTGATGGACACAATGGATCTGCAGCTGCAATATACTCTAAGGAGAATCTCCTAAACAATGTTTTGAGTGCTGTCCCACCAGAACTCAATCAAGATGAATGGGTTGCGGCACTGCCGAGGGCTTTGGTTGCAGGATTTGTAAAAACAGATAAAGATTTCCAAGATAAGGGTAAGAGTACTTTGCTTTCCAAATCTTCTGAAGTTGGCATATGCAGTGTGGCTATCTGATGATTTAGAGGCCCTGTATATAACTTAAGTTGGAACTGCATTAGATTTGAGATCTAGTTGAAGTACAAAAGAATTGCCAGCGTAGCCTTCGAGTTCTTTGGGACATTCTGCTTGTTATAACTGGGATAACCCAGAAACGTGCCCATAGTCAAGATTAAAATAATCATCTACACTACAGGTGAACTAACAATCATTTCAACAAATACATGCAACAACATGTAATTGTATACCTACAACATTTATGTATACCACGTTTGTTTTTATTGATATAGTATTGTATAGTATTGATTTATCTTCTTTCCTTAGATAACAATTTCATATAATTCATCCACTTTTTGGTTAGCAAACCCATCATTATGGTCACCACTCTCCATTATGTGAAAGCCATCTTAACATCAATAGAGGCTGATTATAGAGCAGAGAAAGAGATAAACAAGGTTGAAAGACCGAAGAATGTCTGAAGGTTATGCAAGAAAAATGCATATTTTGACACCGATATATTGATATGTAATTGCTACTTGCTACTATAGTATCTTTCTTTGTGTAAATTGGCCCAACATTTTATTCTTTTGTTCACTTCATAGGTATTGAGAAAAAGAAATTTGGATACATTTCAATATCACCATTCCCATGCAATATGTATGTCGTCCACCCCAACCCACCTCTAGGCAACAACAATTGAAAAAATCTTTTTGACACGGAGAAAACTTACATTGGATAACAGAGAACAGGTATAATATAAAAAAATTAGTTAAAAAAAATGTTGTCATTATTATTGCCATAGAACTTGTTGAAGAACAAAAACTATTAGTGGTTTTGGATAGTAGAGTTTATGAGGCATGCACCAATTAACACAATCATGCAATGTAAATCTAATTCCCAGTGAATTATTACAAGTTTATTGAGATAGTGTACGTGTTTGTTAGTTTCTCATGTTGTTACCTATTCATAACTTGGGACAATTACACTGGCAAGTGACACCCCCTTGTTGTTTTCAGGGGTATCCTTGTTCCTTAAATAACACCAAACCCCTTTGTTGGGTTGTGTTTATACTGCAGAGATCATCCTTTTAGTAGGCAAACATTAGGTTCACAACTAGTATATGTTGATATCATCTAACTTATCTCTCAAACCAATTCGCTACTTAAAGCGCAAAAGTGAAAAAATAAATAAAATATATAAAAGTTAAAGCTCATATTCTTTTACTGATGAATGTCACTGCCACCACTGCTGTCAACTAGCAAAACATAAAAACCCCAAAACCATCTAGGCTAGAGGCACCATTCACAGAAAAAGGAGAATTTGAGCTTGAAAGTTTCCTTACACTTTTCACATTCAAACCAAATGTAACCTCTAAAGCTCCAGTTTCTTCCCATTCAGACCAAATTCAAGTTGCAAGACCAGATTGGCCTATAATTTGTAACGGAACCCGTAGTTGACCATGGTGGCCGAGATCTAAATTTTTTTCTTTTAGTTCAAACAAAACTCAAACTCCGTAAGAAATAAGGATACAATTATCTTTTATTTCAAACAAAACTCAAACTGTGTAAGAAATAAGAGGATACAATTAGAGAAACAACTCGGTCGCTAACACAGTTGGGATGACAAACTTCAATAGGGAGCTAATCTAAGAAGTACGAATACGAACATGGGTGTCGTATCCGATACTGGCCTTGTCTGATTGAGTTCACTATTTAAGATACTTCTAACCATGTCCGACACGTATTTGGTTGTGTCCGACGCGTGTCCATATCAAACATGTGTCCGACACTGCCACGACTCCCCTCTGGGAAGTATTTGTGCTTCCTAGGTGCTAACGTTATGTCAGGAAAAAAAAAAAAGATTAGCAAATTTTGAGAAACAACGAGGGATGTCAATGTAAATGTGGCATTAAATGATGTTAAGCTCTTTTTGCAGCTTTTGTATAGATTGTGTTATCAATATTGCTAGGATTTAGATCTGAATCTTGTATCTCTATGTTAATGTGGCACGCATAAATGTTCTAATTGCTTGGGTATTTCTGTGTATTTTTTTGTGTTTACTATCTCATGCATTTTTTCTCCATTTACTTTTTAGTTTTTAGGTTTTCACTACTCCTACATGTGTAGTAGGGAACATTAACTTGATCTTTGGATTCTATCTTTTGAGTTCAACATGTGATCTTTGTTGTTTTTCCTTTCAGTTTTGACATACATTTTAAGTATTTTTGTCAAATTTGGTGTTATTGTTGCTACTTTTTAGTACCTTAGTTTCATTCATAACATCATTGTGTCTGTTGTAGCGCTCTCTCCCTGCTTTTAATATTCATATGTGATACTGACATCTTGTTGTAATCATATAGCACAAACTTCAGGAACAACAGTCACTTTTGTAATAATAGAAGGATGGGTTGTGACTGTGGCTTCAGTTGGTGACTCCCGTTGCATACTTGAATCTGCAGAAGGGGGTATATTTCATCTGTCAGCAGATCATAGACTTGAATGCAATGAAGAAGAGTAAGTTGATATATTTTGCATCTGATGTATCACTTCATATTGGTATCTGAAATTAGGGCTTATTTTGCAATCTTTAATTAGGAGGGAACGCATTACGACAAGTGGTGGTGAGGTTGGTCGGCTTAAGACTGGTGGTGGTACAGCGGTATATTTGAATTCCACTTTGGTTATTCTATTTCTCTTTACTATTTATAGCTGCTCTAGTTGCTTGTCTCAGTTTCTTCACCAAACATACATTAAATACTATAAGGATCCATTGCCTAATGCAGTTGTAAAAGTGTCGGCCTAACAATGTGAGGTTGTAGGTTCAAGTTTGAGATCATTTTGTGCAAATAATGCCACCATCTTTGATTGATGGGGATTAAGCTGGAAAGGTCATTTTGACCTGTGTAGCGTTGATTATTGATTAGCAGTAGCACTGAGTTTTCTTTCGGGAAGTAGGCCAAACTATCAATTATTAGATATGATCAACTATTATGAATGATAGGGATCCAAATTTTGTTTTGGTGCATAATTTTAGTCTGTGCGAAAACGGAACATTTCGAATGTGTTTTAGAAACAGAATAAAAACAATAGAAAATTGAAAATTCTTTCCAAATATTTTTGAAAAATTTGTTAAAACATCTTAAAACCCCTCGAAATATTGAAACTTCAATATTCAATTACTGATTCGTTTTCGTTTCGTTTCAGTCATTTTAGTGGAAAATAATCAAAATTACGGTCCTTGATCATTGATGCTTGGAGAAAAAAGAAAATGTGCCGGAGTTCAAGTTTAAAATGCAGTTTGCTAATGATTTATTGATGGGCATTGCTATGCATCAAGTTGTCTTTTAGAAGGAATACGTAACAATAACGAGGCAATCTGCCCATACATGCTGATTACTCTGTAGTGGAAATACATTATACCTTGGATTGCTATGTGGTTAGCATAAGGAACTCCAGTATCTAAAAGCTTCCTGTCAATGATTAATTTTGTGCTTTTTTTGATTATTTCTCATGATTTCTTTGCATCGACTTTTGTATATGATGTAAAAGCCTGATAAATTGGGTTGTCTTATCTGCATATTGCTTTGATGGTAGATTGGTCCATTGAGATGTTGGCCTGGTGGCTTGTGCCTGTCTCGATCTATTGGAGATATGGATGTTGGCGAGTTCATAGTTCCTGTTCCTTATGTAAAGCAAGTGAAGGTTTGCAACTAATCTTGCTGCTTTCGGAGAGAATCAATGTAAATTAGAAATATTGTTTGCCTCTATTTACTTTCCCTGATGAACTGGATTGTTTTTGACAGTACATCCCCCCCTCCTAAAACACATAATCTCTTAAATCAAATGGTTAGTTGAGAATCTGTCAAACTTCACCTCCTTTGAAAAATGATTACTCATTACTCGAATAGTATATGTTCCATAGCAGGTGCTTCTCTTGCATTTATCTCTGCCTGTGTGATATTTGGGATCTGGTAAAAACTGAGGTTTAGCAGTAGTAGTTACTTCTTTCTTTTACAAGGCACATTCAGTTCTGTGAAGGACCGCCGTCTTCATGTTTCTTATAGTCATCATTACTTATCCTGTTTCATTTGCTCTGAAAACTACTGTGACATATAGAATTTCAACAGCCTACAATTAGTTTATTTTGCTTGAATTTAGATCAATATATAAAGACAACTACAACTATCTAAAATATCAAATGTTATCCCACTGCGAGTAGCAAAATGGCATATATTAATGTTGAGTGATCCTCTTCCATGCTGCAAAACTGGAAGAACTTATTCAATCTTTATGTTGTCCACTGACCATTATTAAATGATCACTATGTTGATCATGTGTAGAGCTACATTCTTTCCCATTTCGATGAGGATATATAGAAGAAATGCTTGTGGAGGTAGAGGAAGAGGTTTCTATTAATTAGATCTTTGATCTCTCCATTCACCAGAATGTCCTTAGCTGACATTTATGAACACTGTACCTAATTAGTTTATATGTGGCACCATATTTTATTAGACTAGTTAGAGTAGTAGTCCCGTCTAGAAAAAGGAAATATAAGAGCATAGGTTTTAACATTCAATAGAGAATATAAGAGCATATGTGGGCATATGGCCGTGCAATAAATTTCGTTCTCAGATGCATTTATAATTTCATCTTTGCTGGCATTTATTAATGTTTTCTGAAGGAGGACTAAAATTATTGTTGCAAATTGTGTAATTTTGTTTTTGATGAATTCTGGTTTATAACCATAAATGATGAAGATTTGTGTCATGGAAACATCTTCTTTGCATTGGGTACATCTGACCCTCCCCAGACGCCTGTAGTGGCAGGATCTTCGTCTACTGGGCTACCCTTTGATAAACTTTAGTAAATGATGTTAGTACGTAAAACAATAGTGTAAAGGCTTATCTTTCTGAAGTGCCAGAAGTGCTTTTTCAGAATGCCAATGCCATTGGCCTAATTTTTGATGATATTTTTGCAGCTATCCTCAGCTGGTGGCAGGATTGTTATCTCAAGTGATGGCGTTTGGGATGCTTTAACTCCGGAAATGGCTCTTGAATGTTGTCGTGGGATGCCACCTGATTCTGCCGCTTCGCAAATAGTTAAAGTACTCTACAACTTCAATTGTCCCCTGTTCTAGATACAATTTTGTTCCTATTCGTCATACTTTTTTGCTCATTCGTAAATGTAGCCTCACGTCTGTGCTTCATATGCAGGAAGCTGTGCAAGTCAAAGGACTACGAGATGATACAACCTGCATTGTGATTGATTTACAACCTCCAGAGAAGACAACTCCTCCTTTGCCACCACCAAAGAAACTGGGTAAAGGGGTGTTCAAGTCCATGTTCCGCAAAAAGAGTCCTGAGCCATCTTGTCAAATAGATAATGAATACTCTGAGCCAGACGTGGTGGAGGAATTATTTGAGGAAGGATCTGCTTGGCTTTCAGAAAGGTTTGTATTGTGCAAGTGGTTGTTTTAAGCTGAATGTAAGATTTCTACTTCGATGCAGCGAGTTTATCAACATCTGTTCTGCATGATTAATCTACATCCATCAATTGTTTATGTTAAGTTTGGAGGATTAACATCATATTAGAGACAAAGAGAGAGGTTAAAAACTTAACCTAGCTCTCATATATCACTTGTATTTATAGTTACCTATAATAATAAAAATTATACATACACCCTCTTACTATTAACAATTTACACATACTATCCTACTATTCTTAACACTCCCCCTCAAGTTGGACTATATATATCATATAATCCAAGCTTGGAACAAATAGCTGTAAGACGTGTACGACTCAATGCTTTTGTAAACATATCTGCAAGCTGATCATCAGATTTCACAAATGGAGTTGTAATCTCCCTGACTATTATCTTGTCCTGAATAAAGTGACAATCAACCTCAATATGCTGGTTCTCTCGTGAAACACAGGATTGACAGCGATATGGATAGCTGCCTAGTTATCACAAAACAATTGTAAAGGAAGTTGAACTGAAAACCCAATTTTCTGGAGGAAGTGTAGTAGCCAAGTCAACTCACTCGTCGTATGTGTCATTGCCCTATACTCAGCCTCAGCACCGGATCTTGCTACCATGGGTTGTTTCTTACTATTCCATGAGACAACATACCCTCCTAAGAAAGATCAATAACCAGTGGTTGATTTCCGATCAGAAGGAGAGCTTGCCTAATCAGCATCTGAGAAACCTTTCACTCTAAGATGTCCATTAGCTCGATATAACAGTCCAAGTCCAAGAGCTCGTTTGAGATATCGCAAAATACGAGTAAATGCCTCCTAATGTGGTACTCTAGGACATCCTATGAACTGACTTACTATACTGACTGCATAGAAAATATCCGGTCGAGTAATAGTGAGATAATTAAGCTTCCCAACCAATTTGCAATACTGACCTGGATTCTCAAACAATGCACCATTATCCATCAATAATTTCTGATTCGGATCATAGGAACATTAATCGGTCTACCACCCAGCAAACCTGCTTCCTCAAGTATGTCAAGTACATATTTTCTCTGGGATAAACAAATATCCTGTTTAGATCGGGCCACCTCAATACCCAAGAAATACCTGAATTTTTCTAAATCCTTAGTATGAAATTGATCCTGTAAGAATATTTTTAACTTGGCAATTCCCTCAGAATCATTTCCAGTAATCACAATATCATCTACATTGACCACCAATAAGACATATCCAATATCTGTCTGTCTATGAAACACAGAATGATCTGTCTGACATCGAAAAAGACCAAACTCTAAAACTACATCTGAAAACTTACCAAACCATGCCCATGGTGACTGCTTCAAACTATACAAAGATTTCTTTAACCGATATACACTCTTACTATACTCCCCCTAAGTAGTAAACCCAGGTGGCTGTTCCATGTATACCTCTTCAACCAAGTCACCATGTAAGAAGGCATTCTTGACATCTAACTGAAACAAGGGCCAATCAAGATTAGCAGTCAAAGAAATTAAGATACGAATAGAGGAAATTTAGGCAACAGGAGAAAAAGTCTCCTCATAATCAACACCATAATCTGACTAAAACCCTTTGCAACAAATCGGGCTTTGAGACGCTCCATAGAACCATCAGGATGAAATTTAACAGTATACACCCAGCGACAACCAATAATTCCTTTACCAGAGGGTAAAGGAACGAGATCCCAAGTCCCATTATGATGTAAAGCATCCATCTCCTCCTCTATAGCTTTCCTCTAACCCGGATCATATAATACATCTTGTAAATGCTTAGGAATAGATATAGCAAATAATTGAAAAGTAAAACAGGAGAAGACAGGAAACAAGACATCATATGAAACAAAATGAGAAATGAGATGATTAGTAACACATGAACGAGTACCTTTGCGAAGAGCAATAGGTAAAAAATCTAAATTACCTGATGTACTAGGATTAGAAGGCGGCTAGGAAGACTGTATGGGCACCTTAGTCGATGGGTGAGGACGGCAAGAGTAGACACGGAGAGATAAAGTAGATGGCAACACAGTGGGCAGCGGAATATCTAAAGATGAGGAAAGAGATGGTGGTACAAGAGCGGATCCAAAGTCCAGATCCAAAGGCTGAGAAGGTGCTGAAAAGTATGAAACAGATTCTTCAAACGTGACATCGGCACTAGTAAAGTATCGGTGCAGAGAAGGACTGTAGCAACGAAACCCCTTCTGCGTGCAGGAGTAACCAAGAAATACATAATTGGTAACTCGAGGGTCAAGTTTGTCAAACTCAAGATCCAAATTGTGAACATAACAGACACAACCAAAAACCTTAGGAGTCAAGGAAAATAAGGGCTTACCAGAAAAAATGACAGACTATGGACTTAAAACAGAGGATGACATACGATTAATAAGATGACAAGTAGTAAGAATAACATCACTCTAATAATATCAAGGAATATTCATTTGGAATAACAGGACACGGGTGACTTTCAACAAATGACGGTTCTTGCATTCAACAACACCATTTTGTGGAGAGGTTTAAGCACAAGAGGTTTGATGAATAATGCCAATTTTATTAAGATAAGCTGAAAAATGATCAGATTCATATTCCCTCCCATTATCAGAACGTAAAGTACGTATACGACAACCAAACTAAGTTTTTATTTCATTACGAAAAGTCAAAAATATGGAGAATAATTCAGACCGAGCTTTCATAAAAAATAATCAAGTCACACGAGAATAGTCATCCATAAATATCACAAAATAAGGATATTTATTAGATGAAATATTCTTTATTGGACCTCATACATCAGAATGAACTAATTCAAATGGACTAGACACACAATTATTGACTCTAGACTGAAATGACACACGGTGATGCTTACTAAGTTGACAAGCTTCACAAGACAAAGATGACACATAACTAAGACTGGGAATTTGGCACTTCAGCTTCTGGAGAGAGGAATGTCCAAGAGACAATGCCATTAAAAAGGAGACAACGAGGTCTGTAGTGCTCGGGTAGGTGAATCAAAGTTGAGGTAATATAAGCCACCAGCTTCATGCTGCGTACCAATCTTCCTCTTCGTCTTGAGATCTTGAAAGATACAATGAGAGGAATAAAAAGTTAAGTATCTGGTGGAGCTGATTGAGGTATGGAAGCCGCAACAAAGGTGTCATCCTGATAAGACACCTGATTCGCAGTGCCAGAAGGTTTTTCATGTAAATCCTAACAGAAATCAACAGTATGCCCTCCACAACTACAATGAATACAGGAACGTGGTCCACTACGACCCCCACGACCACCCGTACAACCTCCCAAACGACCTCCTCAACCACCTCGATGACCATCAGTATGGCTACTAGGAACCACAAGAGCTGAGCGATCAATGANACGACCACCCGTACAACCTCCCAAACGACCTCCTCAACCACCTCGATGACCATCAGTATGGCTACTAGGAACCACAAGAGCTGAGCGATCAATGAAAACACCGTGATTGATACCTGAAGTAGACAAAGTAGCACGCTGTATGCGAGAGAAAATCTCAAGTAGTAAGGGAAGAGTANTAGTGCTCGGGTAGGTGAATCAAAGTTGAGGTAATATAAGCCACCAGCTTCATGCCGCGTACCAATCTTCCTCTTCGTCTTGAGATCCTGAAAGACACAATGAGAGGAATAAAAAGTTAAGTATCTGGTGGAGCTGATTAAGGTATGGAAGCCGCAACAGANTGAAAGATACAATGAGAGGAATAAAAAGTTAAGTATCTGGTGGAGCTGATTGAGGTATGGAAGCCGCAACAAAGGTGTCATCCTGATAAGACACCTGATTCGCAGTGCCAGAAGGTTTTTCATGTAAATCCTAACAGAAATCAACAGTATGCCCTCCACAACTACAATGAATACAGGAACGTGGTCCACTACGACCCCCGCGACCACCCGTACAACCTCCCAAACGACCTCCTCGACCACCTCAACCACCTCGATGACCATCAGTATGGCTACTAGGAACCACAAGAGCTGAGCGATCAGTGAAAACACCATGATTGATACCTGAAATAGACAAAGTAGCACGCTGTATGCGAGAGAAAATCTCAAGTAGTAAGGGAAGAGTAGAGCCACCCAAAATCTGAGAACGAATACTCTCATTTTTCAGGTTTCAAACTTACCAAAAACCTAACAACATTCATATTCTCATGTTGCTTCTGCCAAATTGCTGCATCAGTAGTAAATGAATGGTAGGTCTTTATCTCCTCACAGACTCTCCGAACGTGAGAGTAATAATGCTCAATACTCAAAGTACTTTGTTCCAACCGAAAATACTCCTTGCACACCTCATAAGATCGGGTAAAATTGCATGTACCCGAATACATAGTGGCCAAGTGATCTCATATCTCTTTGGCANGAGAGTAATAATGCTCAATACTCAAAGTACTTTGTTCCAACCGAAAATACTCCTTGAACACCTCATAAGATCGGGTAAAATTGCATGTACCCGAATACATAGTGGCCAAGTGATCCCATATCTCTTTGGCAGTGTCAAGGTAGAGTAAAGTAGAACTAATACTAGGCTCAATGCTATTCAATAATAAAGAAATAATCTGAGTATCCTCTTGTTCCCACTGATCATACCCAGGAGTGTCTTCCTTGGGTTTAGGATTCATCAAATATTTTTTAAATCTTTTGCCTCGAAAAAAAACTTGAACAGATCAGAACCACANGAGTATCCTCTTGTTCCCACTGATCATACCCAGGAGTGTCTTCCTTGGGTTTAGGATTCACCAAATATTTTTTAAATCTTTTGCTTCGAAGAAAAACTTGAACAGATCAGGACCACAAAGTGTAATTAGTCCCATTAAGTTTGACAGAGGTCATGAGACCATTAATAAGAGTCGGAGGAGACAAAGATGGAGTAAGGGACCTGGTATCTTGCTTGGGTTCCATAATAGTGCAGCAAATAGCAAACAAAGTAGTTGCTGCAAGTACCAGGAGAAAAGAACGCTGTTGGAGAACTGAACCGGAAGAAAAGAAGCAGCTGGAGTACTGAACTGGGCTGAAAAGTGGGTTAGTCCACTGAACCGGACCCCTCCTACTTGCTGAACCGGGTTGAAAAACATGGCAGAACCACTGAACCGAACCAGCAAGGCTCTCTGGACCACTAAACCGGACCCTTTCTACTTGCCGGAATACTGAACTGGGTTAGAAAACTAGGCTGAACCACTGAACTGGACCGGTTAGGCCCTCTGGACTGCTGAACCGAACGTAAACCGTGATCCCGTTTAAGATGAACAGGGGCTGGGCCGAGATTGGACTTTAAACAATTTAAGTTAGCTTGACCCAATTTGAACCAGATCCAAAGCTTGGGTTGGATCTTGTCTTCTTCTTCGCTAATTAGGGTTTCAAAAAAAAACCCTCTGGTCTGTGACACAGCACACACCACAAGCAACGTCCACCACTGCCACCGTCTGCGACATAGCGCACAGCACACACCACAAGCGACGACCACCACTGCCACCACACACCACAGCCACCACAACCACACCACTACCACAAAGAGTATTACTCGACACAGCACACACCACAAGCGACAACCACCACACCNCGACGACCACCACTGCCACCACACACCACAGCCACCACAACCACACCACTACCACAAAGAGTATTACTCGACACAGCACACACCACAAGCGACAACCACCACACCACCAGGGACCACCACAACACCACCACTGTGAACGATGCAAGTGGGCGATGAACAGAGACCACACTAGAGACCACACGATGAACATAGACCACACCACAGCAGTATTAATATATTTAGGATCGTTTATGTTCTGATACCATGTTAAGTTTGGAGGATTAACATCATATTAGAGACAAAGAGAAAGGTTAAAAACTTAACCTAGCTCTTACATCACTTGTATTTATAGTTAACCTACAATAATAAAAATTACACATACACCTTCTTACTATTAACAATTTACACATACTACCTTACTATTCTTAACAGTTTACATGCAGAATGCTGTCTGTTTTGGACGGTGCAGCTACCCGTATGTGATGAGAAGGTGGTCATGAAGATATATTATGGTAACATTTGATGAGTTGCTTTGGGTTGCAGGTTGGATACAAAATACCCGATCTGCAATGTGTTCAAGTTATTCATGTGTGCTGTTTGTCAAGTAGAGATGAAACCTAGAGAGGGTATTTCAATACATGTGGGATCATCGAATTCAAGTAAATTGCGGCCCTGGGATGGTCCTTTCCTTTGCTCAAGCTGCCAAGAGAAGAAAGAAGCCATGGAAGGGAAAAGACCTTCAGGAGGAGGTATGCCACCTCTCATTTGTTTATTCCACAGGAATTTTAAATTCATGAGACTTTGCCGATAGCTTTCTTGTTTTGCTGTTTCCAGATGGGTCCCAATATAGCAGTGGAAGTGAATAGTTGACTCTCCTAACCACTGGTTGTTTTTGAGCTGGTTGTGATCGGGAGAGCTTTATGACAGGATAACCTTTGTTTGTTATCCCATGAGGAGTCGAGCATTTGGACCATCTTTGCCAGGCCTGGGTTCCCTCAGGAACTTTCTCCAATGCTTCATTGCCTCAAGTCGAAGATCAGAGTTAGAGTTGTGTAGTGCAATTGACAAAGCTGTTTCTAACCCAGGTGTGCTAGGCATTGATAATTCATGTGCAGTTTGAAGAATTTCGGAGGTAATTCATACCCATCCTGAATATGGTGAGTTGTATACTGGTCCTTCTTTTTCGTAAAGCTAACAGCAAATGAAATCAGTCTCCAGTGTAATATTGTTTGCATAGGAAATTTGACAAGAACTCACTAGGGCTCATATAGTCAGAGAAATTTTATTGATCGTCTAACTGTTGAGTTTGTTCATGTAACATTTATTTGATCTTTCCTTTTGAAGGAAGGTAACCTTTCAGGATATAAATTTCAATGATTTTTTCTGTTCAAAGTCAAAAGTTTCTTTGGCCTACATTGACCTCACTATCTGCTTCCCACCGATGTGAATCATATAGTTTGAAATTAACCACCTAATCCAGTAGAAATTCCTCCCCTTCCCTCCCCCCATCATCCGGGTTTTATGTTAGTGGGCCTCATGAAGAACTTCCATTCGCGTCTCATCTCACTGGCCATTGGTTGTTCAACTGTGGGCCATTGAACCCCTTCCTTTGCTCAGAAGCTGGCTTATTTGAGGCACTTTAGTTACAACTTATGATAATTTGATCATGATGTATGAGACTTTAAAGGTGTGTTCTTAAAAAAAATAAATAAAAGTGTGTTCTTTAAGTTGATGTAGTTGAATGGTGGTGCTCTAGTCGAAGTAGATATAAAATATTGCATCCTTAGAACCAACTTTTGTTGGGGCAGATAAAATAACACTTAAATGCTGAATTATTGATAGTGCTGGTTGAAATTAACTATTAATGTGAAATTAGCTATTAATGTGTAGAAACAATTTGGGATAGTTTAGAGTTGGGTATGTGACGATAACTATTTTTATTAGTTTCTTTTTTTTTTTTTTGAAGGAAAACTGTTCTGTTAGAAATTTTTATCCCACCCCATAGTTCCATGGGGTTGATGAAAACTTTGGTAAAAAATACGAGTTTGTAAGGGCGTGCTTAACTTTCTGTAATGCCGTCTGTAAGTTTTAATTTCAGTAAAGATTGTTTTAGNTGTGAAATTAGCTATTAATGTGTAGAAACAATTTGGGATAGTTTAGAGTTGGGTATGCGACGATAACTATTTTTATTAGTTTCTTTTTTTTTTTTGAAGGAAAACTGTTCTGTTAGAAATTTTTATACCACACCATAGTTCCATGGGGTTGATGAAAACTTTGGTAAAAAATACGAGTTTGTAAGGGCTTGCTTAACTTTCTGTAATGCCGTCTGTAAGTTTTAATTTCAGTAAAGATTGTTTTAGTTTTCATGTTGTTCTAATCATATGTTCCAGTCATGAAAAAAAAAATATATCATTCATGGTCTACCTTTTTGTGTGTGTGTGTGTGTGAGAGAGAGAGAGAGAGAGAAGCAAACATGGGATAAAACAAAGGTTTCACAGTCATCTCGCAAAGATTCTGTGGTGGGAAAACCTTTTTTCCTTTTCTGCTTTTGCTACTAGCCACTGGAAATCATATTCTTACCTCCAAAGACACAAGAGTCGTAGGAAAGGAAACCCAGCATGCAACGTGGGTGGTATAAGACAAAAACTTTACTCTCTCTCTCTCTCTCTCTCTTGAGATGTATGGAACATGATTTTGAGTGGTTAAGTGGAGAAGATGAGACTGTTCACCCAAATAATGCCTCCATGATTGTGATGTTGACCTTAACTAAGCAAACAAAAATTCCNAGAAAGGAAACCCAGCATGCAACGTGGGTGGTATAAGACAAAAACTTTACTCTCTCTCTCTCTCTCTCTCTCGAGATGTATGGAACATGATTTTGAGTGGTTAAGTGGAGAAGATGAGACTGTTCACCCAAATAATGCCTCCATGATTGTGATGTTGACCTTAACTAAGCAAACAAAAATTCCTGTACGCTACATGGTCCACTGGACCACTTAGCACACGTGTGTTTGGTCCTACCATCTCACCAAACTGTAGTATAATATGCTTTCCACCATTATTCCATGTATCTTTCTTACCTGCATTTATACTTCAATAGGTTTCACCTTCAACTTCAACCCAATGCTAACATACTAAATTCGGTCATCAAATTGTATTAAAAGAACATCCTTGTTCCGACTACTAATTTATTTAGAGCAGACAATACTTTCAGGGAAATCGAATAATTATATTTTAGACTATTTTTTTTGGTTCAACAATCAGGAGAATTTGGGTTAGTTTATGTATACTTTGACTAATCTTTTTTTTGATCCGGTCAAAAATAAACCACTTACAATGAGACTAAGGTATTCATAAAGAATAAATTAATCTAAAAAAATTATCAAAATTCGAAATTAGGACGGATTCTTCTATTCTTTTACTTGACTGACTGGTAATCTAAAAGAGTTCAAACACTGAATTCAAAGTCCACAGCTGAGGAGGTCATTTCTCTGTGATCCAAATCATGGTGGGGACATCGCACGACTCCTAGACAATAAATCATTTGCATTTATATTTGACAATAGTGGTACCAAATATCTAATCGAATCTCTGTCACTTGGTGGACTCATTTCACAAACTCTTTTCCCATTAGTGATTTTGTTGTGTAAGTGATCTTATTTGCTAAATACCCAATTTGTCAAGGTTTGCATAGTTCGAATTTACAAAATATTCATGGTTTAAAGGCACATGATTGATAATAAGTTTCAATTAGTTTTAAGGACAAAGACGACCCGAAGACTATGAGTGCATATATTAATTTTTTTAAGCGAATATGACCATTCATATTTTTCTCGTAATGTTTCTGTGACTATATGTAAATATATCTATTGATGGATGCAATATGTAAAAAGAGTAAAATCAGATTGCCCGAATGAATATTCAATATGACAGTGACACTATTTTTTCACATGATTTGAGGTATTATCGACCCAATAACAAAACTGTACATCACATAATCACCACATTCGCATATACAAATTATACCATGCATCTTCTTATTGAGTATTTTTCCTTTCCACCCAAAAAAGAAGAAGAGAAAACAGGCAAAAGGCAATGGCACTTCAAAACCAAACCAATTTTTTTTTCCTTCAAATTTCTATGTAAGTTCATGATTAAAGTTTGTATAGGGCTAATTAGGCTATGATGCCGTTTGAGATATCAGTACAAATACCTGAACGATGCTATATGATCACTTTCAAAGATTGTTACCCAGTCTACAAAACGAATAAAACACTTCTCCCAAAGTAGTTGAGTGCAAAAAGAGAACATAGAGACAGTGAAAGTGGATTATCCCCATATCATTCTGTGACTTCTATAATCAAAGATTCTTCTTGAACTTTGGTGCAATTTTGGTTAGTAATGAAACATGTATAGATGGGCATATGACATTACGACTTTCTAGTTTGGAAGAATCATTCACATCTATTTTTTTTTCCATTCACATCTATACAAGCACACCCAAATTCAAATGTGGCTTATCTTTTCGTCTATTCATTGGGGCACAATAACCTATCTGAATTTAACCCGAGTTCAATTTAAATATATATATATTTTTTCAAACGAATATTTTAAGCATAGTTAATTTATTAGGTTTTTTCGGAACTAGTTTAAACTTAACTCGAATTGAATAAGAATTTGAAACTTGAGTTGTGTAATTCGAATCGAATTCAATTTTCAAATTGAATTGTGGTATTCAAATTAAACTATTATAAGATATTTCTCAAGTGGAAAGGTTGGAGTTAAAATTATTATTATATTCAAATTAAGCTCGAATAAAGGATGGTTTAATTTAGATTATATGCAAGTAGACTTAAGGGTATTAATTAAGCTGAATTTTATAAGTTTAAGTCCGAACTTGTTTTTTTATAAGAGTCTAAAAAATTGTTCAAACTCGACTCATTTAGAATTTGAACCGAGCTCAAACCCTAGTCGAACCTGAATAGTTTNATTCTGTGACTTCTATAATCAAAGATTCTTCTTGAACTTTGGTGCAATTTTGGTTAGTAATGAAACATGTATAGATGGGCATATGACATTACGACTTTCTAGTTTGGAAGAATCATTCACATCTATTTTTTTTTCCATTCACATCTATACAAGCACACCCAAATTCAAATGTGGCTTATCTTTTCGTCTATTCATTGGGGCACAATAACCTATCTGAATTTAACCCGAGTTCAATTTAAATATATATATATTTTTTCAAACGAATATTTTAAGCACAGTTAATTTATTAGGTTTTTTCGGAACTAGTTTAAACTTAACTCGAATTGAATAAGAATTTGAAACTTGAGTTGTGTAATTCGAATCGAATTCAATTTTCAAATTGAATTGTGGTATTCAAATTAAACTATTATAAGATATTTCTCAAGTGGAAAGGTTGGAGTTAAAATTATTATTATATTCAAATTAAGCTCGAATAAAGGATGGTTTAATTTAGATTATATGCAAGTAGACTTAAGGGTATTAATTAAGCTGAATTTTATAAGTTTAAGTCCGAACTTGTTTTTTTATAAGAGTCTAAAAAATTGTTCAAACTCGACTCATTTAGAATTTGAACCGAGCTCAAACCCTAGTCGAACCTGAATAGTTTGATTATTTTACATATAAACGAATTGAGTTTATTAGAGTTGTTTTTTTAAATAAACTTAAAAGATTATTCAAATTCAGTTTGTTTATAGTACGAGTTGAGCCCCACTTTTTGCGAAGTCGACTAGGTGGAATTGATTAACGCCTTTGGTTGACTGCTCAAATTGCCCAACCTTGCCTTGGTTTGTTTAGTGCGCAAATGTGACGTGCTCTCACAAAGCATAGCTGTTGATTTGACGAGGACCGAAGTTTCGTTCCAATTTACCACACCCTCATCTCTCAACTTTCATAACCACCACACTCTTTTCTTATATGCAAAACAGCAATACAAATATATATGTCCCCAGATACAATTGTCGCATGCTTGCCAAGACAATTTCATCTCAATCTGTAGTTTGATAAGAGCCCCTCCATCCTCTCTCTCTCTCTCTCTCCCCAATCTTATCCTTCCTCCGACGAGTGTTGCTAGTATACATATACCAAAAACAAGAGCAAGATCAGAAACTGAATCAAATCTTCTTGATCTTTTTGAGTTATGGAAGCCCAATTACGTCACCAANGATTATTTTACATATAAACGAATTGAGTTTATTAGAATTGTTTTTTTAAATAAACTTAAAAGATTATTCAAATTCAGTTTGTTTATAGTACGAGTTGAGCCCCACTTTTTGCGAAGTCGACTAGGTGGAATTGATTAACGCCTTTGGTTGACTGCTCAAATTGCCCAACCTTGCCTTGGTTTGTTTAGTGCGCAAATGTGACGTGCTCTCACAAAGCATAGCTGTTGATTTGACGAGGACCGAAGTTTCGTTCCAATTTNAATTATTTTACATATAAACGAGTTGAGTTTATTAGAGTTGTTTTTTTAAATAAACTTAAAAGATTATTCAAATTCAATTTGTTTATAGTACGAGTTGAGCCCCACTTTTTGCGAAGTCGACTAGGTGGAATTGATTAACACCTTTGGTTGACTGCTCAAATTGCCCAACCTTGCCTTGGTTTGTTTAGTGCGCAAATGTGATGTGCTCTCACAAAGCATAGCTGTTGATTTGACGAGGACCGAAGTTTCGTTCCAATTTACCACACCCTCATCTCTCAACTTTCATAACCACCACACTCTTTTCTTATATGCAAAACAGCAATACAAATATATATGTCCCCAGATACAATTGTCGCATGCTTGCCAAGACAATTTCATCTCAATCTGTAGTTTGATAAGAGCCCCTCCATCCTCTCTCTCTCTCTCTCTCCCCAATCTTATCCTTCCTCCGACGAGTGTTGCTAGTATACATATACCAAAAACAAGAGCAAGATCAGAAACTGAATCAAATCTTCTTGATCTTTTTGAGTTNAATCTTATCCTTCCTCCAACGAGTGTTGCTAGTATACATATACCAAAAACAAGAGCAAGATCAGAAACTGAATCAAATCTTCTTGATCTTTTTGAGTTATGGAAGCCCAATTACGTCACCAAAAGATGAGGGAGAAAGTTGAAGAAGAGATGCAAATTGGTGAAGGAAAGTTGAAAAAAGAAGGCCTGCAACAATATCAGCAGCAACAAACACCACAATCTAGCAGTAGTACTAGTGCTGTCTCACCACCAGTACCCGTACTACCACCTTCAGCTTCTTCTTCTCCCACCCATGAATTTTCCTTCACAATCTCTCTCCATCCAGAAGCGACAAGAAAAACTGATAAATCCAAAGCTCCTCCTTCATTTGCTGTAGATTTATCTCCAGCGGATGAGATATTTTTTCATGGCAAATTGCTTCCTCTCCATCTCCTATCTCACCTTCCTGTCTCTCCTCGCTCCTCCACTAATTCCTTGGACAGTTTCACCTTACCCATAAGAGAACTGTTAGAGGACCCAACTCCAGAAAAAAGATCCGCGAAGAGCTTCAATTTCAATGGCGATACTATTGATAGCAACTACTGTCATCAAAGCAAAGATCCTGAACTGAAAGGAAGAACCAAGTCCAAGTCTTTTTCGTCGCTCTTTGGCCTACCAAAATGGCGGAAGGGGTGCGAAGAGAGAGAAAAGGAAGAGAAAGAGAGGCATAAGAAGAAGCTAAAGTTCGACGTGAGTCATGTTCTGAAGAGATACATCAGAATGGTTAGGCCCCTCCTTGCCTTCAGGCTCCGAAGAGGCCGCCGGAATATGCAGTTTCAAAAGCAACCTTACTCGTTTTCCGGGAACTTAGGCTTTAGAGACAAGCCGGATTTGAGGGGAAGGAGAGGGCAGTTGTCGGCGCCGGTGTCCATGAGAGCTTCTCCGGCGAATAGTGGCCCTCTTGTACCACCTGAATCCCTTTCTACGGCTAGTAGTGACAGCACCATGGAAGAGTTACAGGCTGCAATTCAAGCTGCAATTGCTCATTGCAAAAATTCCATTGCAATGGAAGAGAAAATTAAATGCCGATAGTTTGATAAGATTTGGAAATTTTCATTGTTATAATCTACTAGTTTTTGGATTTTGATTTTTTGTGTAGAAATTATATATATGTGTGTGTATATCTTACGTTCAATCTTACGTTCAATTGGGCTTGGAAATGAAGATGGTTCATGGTTAGAGGATTAATGAATTCAAGATATGTTGTTAATTTGCTGTTTCTTCTTCCCTTTTTTTTTATTTAGTTCTTTTTTTGGGAAGAGAGGAGGGGGGGTTGGTTGGAGTTGTTTGTTCCATAGGTACAAAAGGTGGATAAGTCTTGGCGACCAGTTGAAAAAGGAGCTCACCAAGTCTACTGTTGACTCAAAGATGTAAATCGATCTAGAATGAATTCACTGCACAGTCCATACTATATAAAAATGATGTTGACTTTCTACTTAGGCCTATTAATCTTGTCGAGTGACATATGTTCGTGTTGAGTTTTAATCGTTCGTGTCAAAAAGTAGTTTATTTATACTAAATTCGTTTATTAATTCGTGTTATATTAAATGTGTGACGTATATGAATCATATATGATTCGGTATACAAATAAGTCGTCTATTTCTTTTAATTGACTTCAACCATACCTAATTCGTTTATTAAACTCGATTACAAAATGAATTTAAACTCGACTTTAAATTAAACCACTCAACCAAAGTGCTTTTCATGCCTAACACAACTCTGGCCAAAGGATTATATAACTTAGGTTAAAATTGGAATTGAACTCGAATTTAGTAATTGAAGGTGCTGAAAATTTGAGATCCTTAGTGAAAACATAAAAAGTCAGATAGAAATCTATGCCCAATACAAAATACTCAGCGTTGGGCGTTGCTTAGATTGGGTTGGGTTGGCCATTTTGAATTGCAATGGAAAACTGTAATCGGCTTCTTATGTCTAAGAATAAAAGAGAACAAGTATGGGCCCACCATTACGTTTAAGATGTAGTCCAAAGACATGATGTTTGGCCTTAGTATCATTTGGACTCAAAATGGGCCCAAAACGTTTGAGTGAATCAATTACCGCAATAAAATTTAGTTCCAAAATTCTAGATTTGTATTATTTTGGTTTAAAAAATTTTCAGGTTCGAACANGTGTTGAGTTTTAATCGTTCGTGTCAAAAAATAGTTTATTTATACCAAATTTGTTTATTAATTCGTGTTATATTAAATGTGTGACGTATATAAATCGTATATGATTCGGTATACAAATGAGTCGTGTATTTCTTTTAATTGACTTCAACCATACCTAATTCATTTATTAAACTCAATTACAAAATGACTGAATTTAAACTCGACTTTAAATTAAACCACTCAACCAAAGTGCTTTTCATGCCTAACACAACTCTGGCCAAAGGATTATATAACTTAGGTTAAAATTGGAATTGAACTCGAATTTAGTAATTGAAGGTGCTGAAAATTTGAGATCCCAACTAGAGTACTACTCTAATTAAAATGGAGTTGGAATTTTTTTGTGAAAACATAAAAAGTAAGATAGAAATCTATGCCCAATACAAAATACTCAGCGTTGGGCTTTGCTTAGATTGGGTTGGGTTGGCCATTTTGAATTGCAATGGACAACTGTAATCGGCTTCTTATGTCTAAGAATAAAAGAGAACAAGTATGGGCCCACCATTACGTTTAAGATGTAGTCCAAAGACATGATGTTTGGCCTTAGTATCATTTGGACTCAAAATGGGCCCAAAACGTTTGAGTGAATCAATTACCGCAATAAAGTTTAGTTCCAAAATTCTATATTTGTATTATTTTGGTTTAAAAAATTTTCAGGTTCGAACATATAATAAAGCATCTCCAAGAGCTCAATAAACTGGACTTGTTAGCTATTTACATAGCCAGACCAGACCGCAGAAGTTAACTATAACAGACTAGCTATTAGACTGTATTTTCGATGACCTTCATTTGACTGGCTAGATCTGACTAGGCAAAACTATTCGATAATCTGTGTTTTGCGCTAAAATCTGCACCACCGACTGAAGGCTTCAGCAAATATACGCCTCCTCTTCCCTCTTCTCTTCTCCTTTCTTCACCCTCCCATCTCAACAATCTGAACTGTTTTCTGCCTCTCCTCTTTGTTTCTGTGAAGCAAAGGACCTCATTATTTGGATTCTATTCTATTTTTCACTATTTTCTCAGAAAATTTTTGTTCCACTATTTTCTCAGATAATATCTTTGTTCCACTATTTTCTAATAAATTTTTTGAGTTCGCATTATGGGTTTCTTGGGTCCTTCGTTTCTTGGAAAGTTTCTTGACTTGGGTTTGTTTCGGTTTCATTCTTTGTGTTCATTGAAACAAAGATATTGAAGACATGGCTAATACTGTGCATTTTCTGTTTGGAATTTTTGGTGGGTTTTCATTGCAGTTTGAATTTCTTTGTAATTCTTTCTTGGGTTTTTTTTATTTCTTTTTTTTTTTTGATATCTGGCTACATGGGTTTTTGTTTTTGTATTGCAATTCATAAGGCTTCTCTGTGTTTCTTTGTTATAGAAAATGCCACTGTTCTGCTTTTTTTCTTTAGTTGCATAGCTATAAATACAAAGCAATACGCAAGGTTTTGGTAATTAAGCCAAA